AACACACAGGGTCGTCAGAACATTGCACCAGACAAGATCCCCTGGGCGGCTCTGAAAACCCTGATGGCCCAGTCCATCTATGGCGGCCGCATTGACAACGAGTTTGACCAGCGTCTGCTCATCACCTTCCTGGATCGCATCTTCACCAAGGGAAGCTTCGACAGCGAGTTCAAACTGGCTCTCAAGGTCGACGGGCACAAGGACATCAAGATGCCCGACGGCATTCGGTCAGTAGAGGCTTTTATTCATATTGAAAGGATACTTCCCTGATGACCTCGACCAGTTAAAAAACTGTTTATGATTTTGATGTCTTGCAGGCGTGAGGAGTTCATGCACTGGGTAGAGATGCTTCCCGACACTCAGACTCCATCTTGGCTCGGGTTGCCTAGCAATGCCGAGAAGGTGTTGCTCACCACTCAGGGTAAGCCACAGCCGGTCATCTTCGTCATCTGTGCTCTGATGTTCTGTCACAGTAACTGGACCACAACTCATCCTGATTCTTCCTCAGTCTATCAGTTCAGATTTCATGTTTTCACAGGGCAGATCATTAACCATCTCTCTTTCTATTCTAGTGTCTTTACTTTTATTTTGACAGGGTGTCTCAGTGCAACGAGCATCTGCTTTGGGCAGAATACTGTGTGTGTGGTGGCAATTAATACGATACTAATCTCTCATCTTGTCATAGTTTCACTTCATCTAGTTTTCTAAGTAGCTCCTAGTTTCAGTCTTGTGTATCACAGTTGTGCAGTTTAGCTGTGTAGTTGTCGCCTTGCTGTCGTCAAAGCCATCGCACTCTTAAAAGGTGCTCTGCCCAGAGGAAGGGTGTGTGTGTCCTCACCCTCCAGCAGCTGTATTTCACAGCCATCATGTCGCTTTGCTGAAGTATTATCCCCACCCATCCCTCAGATTAGGATTGCAAACGACCACACTCCTCCCCATCCCTTCAGCCATACCCTCCCTCCCTGATTTGTCAGATTGATTTCCACACCCTCTCCAAACTCCCACAATCCCAGCTGCCAAAGCATCTGTCCCTCAGATGAACTGCCACACTCCCCTTCTCCTTCATCCTCACTCCTGCCCCTTAGTTTCTCTCTTTGATCCGTTCCCCTCCATTGGTTATGTTCATTTCTTTTGCAGATCCAGTCAGTCAAGATAGCAGCTAATTTATCCACTTGGGAGCTATGTTGAATGTTACATTTGATGGAAATGTTGCCTGAAGCCTTGTATGTCTTTTCGTCCTACCCTGTGTAGCCCTAATTTGTTTGTCTGTAGGCACTTCTCCTTTTTTTTATTCTTTTGTTTTTTTACTTGTTTCTTTTATTAACACACCCTCGAGGTAAGCTGTTTGTGTCTTTGTTCCACTATTAATTTCTTCTCCCCCCTACCTCCCACCATGGCCTTGTCTTCCACCTCCCTCCCCCACTCACTTGCTCCCTCCGCCGGGCTGCGCAGGCACTGACATGATGGGTAAGATGCTGAAAATGCAGATGTTGGAGGATGAGGATGACCTTGCCTATGAGACGGAGAAAAAGGAGCGCACTTCGTCCACATCTGACGCCCAGCCGGCCTGGATGAGGACCCTCCACACCACCGCCTGCAACTGGCTGCAGCTCATGCCCCAAACAGTCAATCCACTCAAACGCACAGTGGAGAACATCAAGGTAATGGCAGATATGAGAGGTAACTGGCGAGCAGCGTTGAGGAGACAGACCTGTAATATAATGTTTGGTAATTACTCTCATGTTGATTTGTTTGAGCTAGACTCATGAGTGCAGGTTTGAATTTCAGCAAATTAATTTATACCTCCTTTCTTCATGTCATTGATGCATTTGCCAATCGTCTGTATTTAATGTCCTCTTTCCCTAAACACACAAACACCAGGACCCACTGTTCCGCTTCTTCGAGCGCGAGGTGAAGATGGGTGGCAAGATGCTGCAGGAGGTCCGTCAGGATCTGTCTGATGTGGTGCAAGTGTGCGAGGGCAAGAAGAAGCAGACTAACTACCTGCGCACACTCATCAGCGACCTTGTCAAAGGTAAAATCATACTTTTTCTCTCACATTCATTCATATATATTTAAACATACTTGTTTGAGGTCAGATAAATGAAATGTAGGGAAAAAAATTCCTTCTGGTTGGTCTTGACCAACAAGATGTCCTCCAACAGATTATACTTCTGAGGGAATAGCTGGTATACGCCTGTTGGTTCTCTCTCCCCAGGCATCCTCCCTCGCAGCTGGTGTCGGTACACCGTTCCAGCCGCCATGACTGTGATCCAGTGGGTGGCAGACTTCAGTGAGCGCATCAAACAGCTGCAGCAGATCTCCCAGGGTGCTGCCAGCGGGGGTGCAAAGGAACTGAAGGTACTGTTTGGTTAACTGTTTGTGCACAGCATCAAACAGCCTCAACAGAGCCACTCACAGTACTGTTCTTTTGCCATTTCCTCTCCTGTCTGTTCTCCAGAACATCCACGTGTGCCTCGGCAGCCTGTTCGTGCCAGAGGCTTACATCACCGCTACACGCCAGTACGTGGCCCAGGCCAACAGCTGGTCTCTGGAAGAGCTCTGTCTGGAGGTCAATGTCACCACCGCCCAGGGTGCCGCACTGGATGCCTGCAGCTTCGGCATCAAAGGTCAGATGAGCAGGGTCACACTAATTCTCTAACACCCTGCGGCAAATACTCGCACAGCTCATGGAAATGTGAATCCAGTCGATTGTCACCAAAAGAACTTTGTGCTCTAATTAATATTGGGAAATTGTAATATTCAGTTTCAAGGGTTCTAATGTTGAACATGCTGACTGGTTTTCTCAGGTCTGAAACTGCAGGGAGCAACTTGTGCCAACAACAAGCTGTCGCTGTCCACCTCCATCTCCACTGAGCTGCCTCTCACTCAGCTCCGCTGGATCAAGCAGAGCAACGCTGAGAAGAGACACATGGTACGAACAAGATATGTCTATCTATCAAATCTATACGGTCAGACGATTCAGAAATTCAGCGTTTGCAGTGGTTGTGTGTCTCATCAGGTTCTTTCCCCTCTCATTGCAGGTGACTCTTCCTGTGTACCTGAACTTCACCAGGTCTGACCTCATCTTCACGGTTGACTTCGACATCGCCACCAAGGAAGATCCTCACAGCTTCTATGAGCGTGGAGTCGCTGTCCTGTGCACAGAGTAGATGAAACATTTGTCATTCCTGAAGACCAGAGAGTCTTCATTATTAAACCACATATAATCACATACACATTCATTTCCTATTAACCACTGTTAAATCAAGTTTAAAGCTTGTTGCATTCCAGTACTAAATGTAGTCAGGAACATTCGTGGAACAGTCATTAACATGTAGTCATTCGTAGTGTTTTTGGAAAGTGTCTGAGAAGGTCAAGAGAATGTTGTGAAATGGTAAATGAAGACGAGATGAAATGTGGGGAAGGAACGTTGGAAGTAAAAGATGGTTTTATGAAGGAAAGTGTTTTTAGATTGAATAAAGTCCATTGGAATGAAATGAACTGCATGAATGACTTCAGCGTGGTCTCTCATGATAAATGGAATTTACACTAACGCAAAAACAGAATTTAATTATGTTTCATAAGCAGTTATGGATATAAAGGACAACCTTTGGTAGTGTTAAAGTAGGGTTGGAAATTAGCCCCAGTCAAATGCTGTCAAAATATACAAGTCTCTCTAACCAAAAAAACTTGTAGATGTTGGAATCAAGCAGCTACAGTGCCAGGTTGACAAAAAAAGTCAATATCCATCTCTGTTTGAGACACTTCTCTGAGGTCTTTTATAAATTAGGTTCAGCAGGTTAGCCTACACCAGATGCCAAGATCAAAAGTTACTTTTTCAGTGTATTACTGCCACCTGCTGGTTGGAAGTGATAAACGTGTTTTTGCTTAAGAAAAGTACATAAACAATACAAGTGAAAATTTAACTAGATACCTCTGCAAGCTATCAATGAAAATACAAACATGTTTCACTTTACTTGTCTGATGACATGTGAAACAGACGTAAGGATGTGAAATTTAGGTTCTTGTCTGTGGCAAAAACATGTAATACATTATCATACTTGTATGTACTTCAAGACCAAAAAAATGAAGATGTAGATTTTTAATTTGTCCCCAATTTCAAATATAGAAACTATCATTGACTTCCAAGATCAATTTACACACCTTCTGGCACACATGGATCACTGTATATCTATTATGTGGATCTGTTCTGTACGCAAGGCACCTCTTGCAAATCTGTCCGTCCTGGAAGAGGGATCCCTCCACAGTTGCTCTTCCTGAGGTTTCTACCATTTTTTCCCCATTAAAGGAGGAATGTTGTATGCTATAAAGCCCTCTGAGGCAAATTGTGATTTCTGATATTGGGTATATAGGTAAAATTGAGTTGAAGTGAATTTTGTATAGGCCATGTAATCTAGTAAACATACAGTAGTGCAGCCTACAAGAGATGTGACCCTGATATGAAGCCAAAACTACACATGAATGGCTTAAAAGCAATGCTTGAAACTGATGAACACTTAGCAGCCCATATTTTTTCCCCACTGAGATACATTTCTGAGAAGTAAAATTTGATCAGCTGGTCATGTTAACAAAATTAGATTTTGATGGAGCACCTGTGGCTAAAATTCAGTGGAGCTTTAGCTGCAGAATGTCATCTTTATCATCTTGATGATTAACCAAATGTCTAGAGAAAACATTTGGTTAATCAGCGTCTGTTGGGAATTATAGGCTCTGATAGTTGATGTCTGAAGGTGTAAAAACTGTCACAAGCAGAAATACTATGTAAGATTTTGATTAATAGGATCTCAAATCACCACCACTTTTACATGAAAATTGTAGAATCAACTGATTCATGTTTTAAATTGTTTTTAATGCCCTTTTATATTGACTTGCTTTGAGTTATTTCCATTATTTCTATTATTATTATTATCATTAAAGTTGGGAGCTGCTTAACCATTATTATTTATTTTATGTGGACAAACAAACATTTTTAAGTGTCTTTTTGAAATTAGCATTTTTCTTTATTGGTCTATGAAAAAATACAGTTCCTTAATTTCAGGTGCATAGGTTGGACTGTGGTCTGTTAATATAGAGACCGAGGTTACTATGGTAAATCTCCCAACAAAAATCATAATCGTTTAAAGACAACAAGCCATAATGTGACACAGAAAATAAACCTTTAGGTCTCTACACTGTTTTATCTATACATGAGTAAACAAAGTGCATTGCCATATAACTTTTTACAGTCCTTCATTCTACCTTAAATTATTCAAGGCACTGAGCGTGACAGGAGAGCTTCAGCCTGTCAGTCCATGGTTAGACAGCTCTAACATGGCTCAGATGCAAAGTCCCTTCATTTATGTTTGTCCTCCATGCTGACAACACACTGCCTCTTTCTCTGCTCCAGCTCCACCACTTCTGCACCAAGGAAACCCAGCTTCCTCTTGTAAAGCGATCTGAGGTTACAGGGGCATGGGGGTCTCTCCGAGGAGCTATCCAGCATCTGCGACGAACTCCCTTCCACCAGGGTTACAGGTCCAGGTGTGTGAGGTGTGGAGGATCTTGTAGTGTTCAAGCCTGAATCATCAACCTGACAATGTAATTCTATATCCATGGTTTGCATCGTTGGATCATCGGCCATTTCCTCTGTAATATCTCTGCAACCATCCCGGTCACTGTGGGAGGGCAGAGGGCCACAGACACACAGCTCAGAGTCACTCCCACACTTCACATCCAAACCATGCTGCTGCTCTGACACAGGATCTCTCATCCCATTTTTCACCACTTCTCTGAGGGCGACAGAGGCAGGGTGATTAAGGATAAATCTCCTGCTCCTGCCCATGAACCGACAGCCTCCTCCTCCTCCACCTTTTCCCTGCTGCCTCATTCGCCTGCTGGAGACACTCATATCGGTGTTTGACTCGTCAGAATCCTCAGAGCTCCCATCATATGGGTCCAAAAACTACAATCACACACACACACACACACACACACACACACACACACGCATTCATTCAGAAATTAGCAGGATGATTTGCAGAGGAAACTGATGGATTAGACAAAGGAAAGTGTTTACCAGAGAATAACAGCCATGCTTTCCTGCAGACTTGTGTGTTAACGGCAACGTCCGCCGGTAAGTTCCACTCTCTGGTGCACTGCTCACACATCCCTGCTCAATGAGGAATTCAGGGATTTTTACACAGACAAGACGGTAACTTATTTTTGTAAACCATAAAGCTCAAAAAGTCCCAGTGTGCCCTTCCTAAACTATGTTTCTGAGATCATAGAGACAATAGTGTTGCCAAGATAATGGGCATGTAGAGTCAGTTTCGAGGGAAGACACTCAGTTTGATCCAGTGGAAAATATCCTAGTATGAAAGCAAATAAGAGAAATACTGTAGGTATTTTAATTTTAACAACCACTGAACACTTGATATTGAAATTTAAAACACCACTAAATTCATAGCATGTAAATATTTTACTTTGAAAACTATGTACCTTAAATTTTTTGTCTGAATTCTCATCTTTGAAATTTAAAAAAAATCTTAATTTTCAATTTCAGAGTCTGAATATGAATACTTTTTTTCAGTGTTCACAAATTCAGATCTGAAAATTCAAGTTTCAGAATTAAAATAAATAGATTTTTTGACTTATACATTTGAATCTGAGCAACTTGAATCTATTTTTTTGAGATTCTGAAACTTAATTTAATTAATTTTTGGATCTAAATCTTTGAACACTGAAAAAAAATGTAATCAAATTCAACTTTTGAAAATCAAATCAAGGAATTTCATATCTAAATATCAAAGCGGTGAAATTGGAACAAATAAATTCAGGTGCATGGTTCTCTAAGTAAAATATTTCAATGCTATGAACTCAGTGACTGTTAAAATTTAAATATTTATGTCTCATATTTGGTCCTACGCTGTAGTTAATTTTACATTGTCACTTATCCATTTGTGTTGACTGTGTGTGTGTCTAAAGCATTACCAGAGTGCTGGTGTCCGACCACCTTGGACTGATCTCTGAGTCAGAATCAGTGCTGGACTCCACCTTACACATCTCCTGACAGAAAACACAGTTCACTCTAGTCCACATTTATGAGTCAAGTCAAGAAAGAAGTTAAATGCAAGTGAATTAAAAATTTCAAACTGAAAAAACTCTCTGAATATCGTGATAAAATTTGGCTGACTGATCTCACCATGTATTTGAAAGCAAGCTGGTCCATGTTGTTGGGCACATGTCTGTCCCTGTGATCTAATTGGAGGGAACAAATAAATTTGTAGTGCAATAATGCATTTAAGAAAAAGACAGTTCAGAGTATATCCCTCTCATGCATACTCATAATACCATATTCAAGGAAATACTAGGTTGTATGAGACCATGCAACCCATATTACTAAATTTAAGGTAAATTAAAGTTTTTAAATTTGCAAAAAATTACACAAAAATATTGATACTACCTGGAAGTGAGAGTTGTCGTCTTCTTCTGTATGCCATGACATTTGGTAAGTATATTTTTTTTGAAACACGACAAAGTAAAATAGTTAAAAGTTGTCTTTGTGTGTAGTCAGATTAATTAACCAGCAGAGTACCAGGTGCATTTGATACAATGCAACCTAGTGTGGCCACATGTGAGCAGTCTGCACACGATGAACAGCACTGGCACGAGTTCAAAACGCCTTTTAGTTTGTTAATTTCAGGAGTTTAACAAAATAATACGTCCGGTTTTTTTTTTTTTTTTTCAAAATAAAACTCATATTGACCATGATGCTGCTGCACAACAACTGAAATTTCAATTTTAATGGTTTGGTGGTAAACATTTTTTAATTTTATACGTACATTTGGTAAAAAAAAAAAAAAAAAAAAAGTATTTAAAGTTTCTGTACAGGTGAAGGAAGCGGTAAATGACTCCAAAAATGGAAATGACAATATATTCATATATACCACAAGTAAAATGTATGTTACTGTTGCCACGTGTACTGTTTATAATATATGGGTTAAATTTGTTTTTAAAAAGCACAATAATGTTAAAACTTTTGTTACTCTACCTCCAGCCTGCTCCACCAGTTCCCCGATGCACCGTTGGGGGGAACGGGAGAGTCGGAATGCCCGCTACATGGCCCGCTCCCCTCCGTGCGTAAGATCCGGCCTGGGGGAAAGGGATGAATGTTAATTTCAAAGATGGCGGCGGAGGGAGGAGGGAAGGAGATGAACGAAATTAAAACGCAATTCACCACTCGGGAAGGCGTCTACAAACTCCTCACTCACTCCGAATACAGCCGTCCTAACAGGGTGCCTTTCAACTCGCAAGGCTCCAACCCCGTCAAGGTCTCCTTCGTGAACGTCAACGACCAGTCGGGCAACGGCGACAGGATCTGTTTCAATGTGGGCCGTGAGCTCTACTTCTACATCTACAAAGGCGTTAGAAAGGTAGCGTGCTAACGCGGCTATTGTCAACGGATATCCGTGATACTGCATGTTAGCGTAACATCACTGTTTCCTTAGCTGTTGCCGAACTTCGGGGTTGTGTCGGCCGGGTTAAATAACTCTGGCAGGCGGTTGACTTTGAAATTAGCTGGCAGCTAGTTAGCTTGAAGCTACGGCGAAGCTAGCCTACTAGTTAGCTAGCCAACGCAACTAGCTAACGTTAGCTAGCAGCAACTCCGAGGCCAGAGGCTAAATTCCGTCCCCAGTCCGTCACTCTGTTTTAGTTTTGCTGGGTGGTAGGAACCGTGAGTTTGCGTAACATTCACCAGGGTAAAGCCTTTTGGTTTGGTTTAAGTTAGCAGGGTTGACATTGCTGCTGTAACGGTTGTAGTTTGTGATGACAGTGACAGTTCGTACGTTGCCACCCATGACACCTGTCGACGCCTTTAGACTGACAGGTGTCGACATATCAAAAATGATGAAGATGCAGTGTTAGGACAGTTAGTAGGTTGGTATGCTATCTGTAGCCTTTACTCTGTGACTGATGCCACTCATCTCTTAGCTTGGGGATGTGTCTCATCAAGCTGAAATGCTAACGCTTGCTAAATAGTTGACATTTATGGTATAGTGCGCTAAATAAGCTTTAAGTGCAAAGGATACAAGTCTTTGAAGGCTGTATCACTCCACAGTACATTTTTAGAGTCTGCTAAACGTTTAGTCACTAACATATAAGTGAATGACTCATGGTGATGGTGGATTCTCACAAACATGTCATGGTTTTCTAGTAAAAAACAAGGTGGGGCACAAGTGGGACTCGTGTGTTACCACTTTCATATGCTGGTGTCAGTTAGGAGTATCCTGATTCAGACTCTACACTTTAAATAACTTCAATATGCTCTGTCATTAACTCCACATAAAGTGAGTTGGCAAACAGCTGACACGGTTGACAGGAATCAGCTGACTTCTGACTGAGGCAATGTGTCTCAGCTTTTCAATTATTCACACAGAAACGTGCGTGTCATGAGTGTCATCGTTGCCCCACTGTAAAACAGCATTAGACTGGCTAAAGGCTGAGCTGCCATAATTTAGAGCAAGTCCAGAGTTTGTAGCACAGAATTGGTGGCAGTTAAACTGTCTGAAATAGTGATTTTAATCTTGTCGGACAGAAAATGTTAAACAGCAAGTTATTCTGACACAGGCAGATTAGTCATATCCCTAATAAAGACACTGATATTTAGTTTCAGTGTATCAGTAACACATCACAAGAGAATGCTCCCAAAACATCATCTTATTGATTAGTCTATTTGTCCCACTCCTAAGGTTCAGCTGAAAGAGGTTCTTTGCCTTCTGATACTCTTAACAAATCTAGCAGCTCATGAGGACCTGTTTATTTCCTGTATATTTCTGTAACTTCCTTACTTCAGAGTGCTCCCACCACTGCTGACATAGGTGATAATGTCAATAATCAAAGCACTGTCTAATAACGTGTATACTGTTGTGAGGCATAAGAGCCTAGACTATTGATTTCAACTACTTCAAGAATTGGTTTGACATTTTGTTTCTCTAAGGCGAGACCGAAACACTCAACGTCACATGTAACATTAGTGGAGGAACTACTGATTCCTCGTCTTCAAAGAATTTTCCATTCTTCCAGTAGTGTAAACGGTAAATCATTAACAAGAGGAACTGTTGTTATACTGGTTATCTACCGTATATGCCCAGCGTGTTTTGTTCACTGCAGTAAAATAAAGTTTACCTGACATAAAGAAACAATCTGTATGACTGCTATCGTCTGTCATTCCACAGAAAACAGGCATGCCCCTGTAATCGAGTTCTTCCTCATTTTTTGCTCAGTGACTGTCAGCAGTTTGATGCATTGGTAAAGTTCAAATGTCACTTCTTGCACACTCTGGTTGCAAGACACTTGATTTAAGAAGGCTGTAACCAGCGTGAGTGCCTTCTTACTTATCAGTGGAATTTATTAACATTGTCCTTTCAGCTCCTCGATACTCCGTGTCAGTGTGTTTGAGATGACGCACAGGAGGAAACAGTTTAACTGTGCACTCAGCTCCGATACTCCAGTTGCCTTTGTCATGCAAAAAAGTGCGTAATTTTAGATATTTAAAGGTTACTGCACTCATATCGTGTGTGTTCATGCTTTCTCTCTCCAGGCTGCTGACCTGAGCAAGCCCATAGACAAGCGCATTTATAAGGGAACGCAGCCCACCTGTCATGACTTCAACCACCTCACAGCCACAGCGGAGAGCGTGTCCTTGCTGGTGGGTTTCTCAGCGGGACAGGTACAGCTCATTGACCCCATCAAGAAGGAGACAAGCAAGCTCTTCAATGAGGAGGTAGGTCACTGAGGGACAGAGGTTAAAGTACTGGGAGTTCTGTTTACAGCATTAGAGGAAAAATTGAGAGACAGTTTTCATATTTGATTTGAGCCTTGTTGTCAGACATCTGCTTTTTTCTGCCAAGGAGGTGAAAGGGTATTTATATTTGTGTATCTCATTTAATCTCACAAAGATGAATGAACCTATGCCCCACACAATAACCCTTAGTTAGGTTACAACTCACAGATTGGGAAATAAAAAAATGTAAAATACAGTTTCAGCACAGAATATGACCAAATGGCCTATGACTGTAACGGAGTATTCTATGTGACACTGTAAGACATTCAACATGTTCAGACTATCCACTTCTTGATGATACTGTGCTGACATTTTTTCCTCTCTCCCCTTCTCTCTCTCCTGTCTGATACCTCCCCCTTCCCTCTCTCCTGCCAGAGACTAATAGACAAGTCCAGAGTAACATGTGTGAAATGGGTGCCGGGCTCTGAGAGCCTGTTTCTGGTCTCTCATGCCAGTGGGAATATGTACCTGTACAACGTGGAGCATACTTGTGGCACCACGGCACCACACTACCAGCTGCTTAAACAGGGAGAAAACTACTCTGTACACACGTGTAAGAGTAAATCCACGCGGAACCCTCTCCTTAAATGGACAGTGGGCGAGGGGGCCCTGAACGAGTTTGCCTTCTCTCCAGATGGGAAGTTCCTAGCCTGTGTAAGCCAAGACGGCTTCCTACGAGTCTTCAACTTCGATGCTGTTGAACTTCACGGAACCATGAAGAGCTACTTTGGTGGCTTGTTGTGTGTGTGCTGGAGCCCTGATGGAAAGTACATAGTTGCAGGTGGAGAGGACGATTTAGTGACTGTGTGGTCGTTTTTGGACTGCAGAGTCATCGCCCGAGGCCATGGGCACAAGTCGTGGGTTAGTGTGGTGGCATTTGACCATTACACCACCAGCGTGGAGGAGAGTGACCCAATGGAGTTCAGTGGCAGCGATGAGGACTTCCAGGATCAGATGATCCACTTTGGACGAGACCGGGCCAACAGTACGCAGTCTCGACTCTCTAAGCGCAACTCCACGGACAGCCGGCCTGTTAGTGTCACATACCGGTTTGGCTCAGTGGGCCAGGACACTCAGCTGTGCCTATGGGACCTCACTGAGGACATCCTTTTCCCTCATCTTCCGCTCTCACGGACACGGACGCACACTAACGTGATGAATGCTACCAGCCCCCCTGCGGGTGCTACAATAATCACTAACACCTCTAGTAACACTACTAATGGAAACAACAGTGGTGCCAATACTCCTGGCATTAACTCCCTCTCTACTACATTACCACGCTCCAACAGCCTACCCCATTCAGCCGGCACCACGACAACGGCAAACAACACCAACAAGGCTGGCAGTGGTGGTGGCGGCATTGGCAGTGGTATTATGGACAGTGCCATTGCCACAGGTGTGAGTAAGTTTGCCACGCTGTCACTCCACGACCGGAAGGAGCGCCACCACGAGAAGGACCACAAACGCAACCACAGCATGGGCCACATCAGCAGCAAGAGCAGCGACAAGCTCAACCTGCTGACAAAAACCAAAACAGACCCTGCAAAGACTCTGGGCACTCTGCTGTGCCCTCGCATGGAGGATGTGCCCCTCCTCGAGCCCCTCATCTGTAAAAAGATAGCACACGAGAGACTGACTGTACTCATATTTTTAGAGGACTGTTTAGTGACTGCTTGTCAGGAGGGATTTATTTGCACATGGGCGAGGCCAGGCAAAGTGGTAAGTTCTTTTTAATGTAGGAAATGTGGGGGAAATGGAAGTGTCTTTCAATCTTAAGCTGTCCTAAAGTCAGTTGGTGGGCTGTAACTAAAAATCAAGATATAATCTGAAAGCGTAAAATAAAAGT